AAAAAATGTCGTATAAATTTTATAATTAATTTGTAAAAAGCGAAAAATGATATCCAAAATTGGCAATTTTGATGGGATCGCCAAGTATAAGACCGATCCTAGGGACCCGTTCCGAAATCCTAAAGTTTTAAAATTTTAGATACCAAGAGGGTTTATTACATATTTTCATTAAGTAGCTCATTAAAACATTTTAATAGACAATTTTAATAATAAATTTGTAAAATAATTTTTTTGTAATTTTCTTGGGACTAATCATTGATAAATCGAGACATTGTTTGTAAGCATTATTTTGTATAATGCTACGAACATCACAAGTTCAACTCGTGTTGGTTGAATTTTCCATTCTACTTCAAAATTTTAAAAATTACATGAATACACCTTTTTTAGAAACTAATAATTTTCAAGCTTTTATTCTATTTTATATAATAATAAATTTATATGCTTCTATCAACAACGAATATATTATGTTAATGTACAAGGTTTAACTAAACAAGCAAATCAAATTGCTTGCAAGAATCATTTATTGCTTTGTTATATATTGCTGATAAAAATATGAAGCATTGGAACTAAATCGACAAATATCAAATCAAAATAAGAATCAAAGATTCAGATACTTTACAACTCGATCAAGAAAATATAAATCCAATTGGAATTCCTTTAATTGAACATCCTTTAATTAGGCGACCTAAAGGAAGACGATCAGGAACTACAAGATTTAAAAGTCCTTTAGAAACTTCATCTTGTCCTAATGAAGTCCGAAGTCAAAACAAGTGTAGTTTATGTTAATATTATAGGTCATAATCGTATAACATGTCTAATCCTATGTGGAAATAAAGAAAAATGGGGATAATATCTAGGTATAGTGTTAGCTATAATTATTAATATCATTTGTTGAAGGGGAAAGATTGGTTTAGGATATAGTAGGCGCGAAGCGCCCGAAGGCCGAAACGCAGCATATAATTTTACAGTCAGTTTCTTTAACAGTCAGGTTATCAATCATTCAAAATATGGAGTAAGAATAAATCGATGCAACAGACGCACAGTGTGACAATGATTTAATTTCGTTTGATTATTTTACTTTTTATTAACCTGCCACCTTTATGATAGAATGAAGATCATCTCTCTCTGTCTATTAATAGCCAGATTCTCTGAACATACTGTATTACCTGATCATGCATGTAAAGCTGATGTGTATTAACCGACCAATAGGATTTCGTTTTTAAAAAAAAAAAAAAGCGTTTATGAATTGCAAGTTTTGGATCTAGACATAATTAATCACAAAAATAATGTATGATGATGAGAATAATAAGTTTGTTTATTTCTTTGTTAAGGTGCGGTGTAGTGAATTTACAAATAATAAATTTTTTTTCCTCGATTGAAAGATATGCTATGTAACACAGTGTGATGTGATAAATCAAGAAATTATTTTTTTTTTGATGATGCTTATGATATTCTAAAGTATTATTAACTAATGTATTTATTTTAATATTTGAAAATAAAAAATGTCTTATTTTATTATGAAGAGATTACAATGGGCAGTTCAAAAGGAATAGAAAGTTCATATTGTCTAGCTATATCTTCATCTATTTCTTCCTCTTCAAGCTTTCGTTGCATACAATTGCTTTTTGTAAAAAAACTTTGATCCTTAACCGTCAAAGAAGCCAAGTCTATGGTGGAAGATTGATCTTCATAAGTAGTAGTATTTCGAAGGATTTTTTGAGCGTTTAAAGGTATGATAGGAAATTTGAGTTTTCGAGAGGTATAAATAGCTTGACGATGAATTTGAGGAGGAGTTAATAATGTGTTTGGAGACGTATCCAAACCTTTGGATCTCATACGCCTTATCCGTATACGTTCAGCTCGTTCGAATTCATCAGATTGTTTCTTATACAAGTGCCATTCACCTAATTGATTTACTAATTCTCTGATATCGGGACGTATTGAGATATCCGATGACCAACATTTTTTCATCAATTCAATATAACAATCAGGTATGTCGATGTTTCCGATATTTCCAATACTAGGACGAAGTTCATTATAAGCAATCGAATGAATCAATCTGGAATTATGAAGTTTATCATAAAACGGTTGAGAGTTTGTACATAGTTCCCACATGATGATTCCAAAACTGTAAATATCGGATTTTTTCGTGTGTTTTTCGTGTCTTAATATTTCGGGTGCCATAAAAGGTAATAAATCATTTTTATAATATCCTATTATTGGAATTGCTTCCTTATTCTTTCCAAGTCCCAATTCATTCACTGGAATTTCCAAATGATTCTTAAAAATTGGTCCATTTGTTGCTTTGTCACGATGCACTTGTTCCCCATTATGTAATTGTTCAAGAGCGCAGGCTATTGAATGAAGTATTGACAATTTACGTGACCATGTAAGACGAGCAAAATGATGTGATACGTAATGCCTCAAATCCCACTCGATGGTCTCTGCTACCATCATGAAATGTCCTGTTACGGTCTCCCGAGTTACTCCAAATAATCGAATCATAAGGCCGTTATGAACACGTGAAAAATAATGCAATTTTAACTAAATAAAGGAAAAAAAAAGCTTAATTTTTATTTAAAAAAAAAAAAAAAAAAAAATTTTTGATAAATCAAGTCATTTATTTAACAAATACCTCTTTAAGGAATAAGGATGGAGAATTGCCAAGAGAGTGTAAAGCTATTTTAATTAATTCTCTTCTCGCCACATATTTCGATTCGGTCTCATCCCAACAATCTTTTGGACCTTTTTCCCAATTCGCAGTATAAACAGTTCCCACTTCGGATACGTCATATTTGCTTACTCCGATGAATTCACCAAATGGTATCCATTCCAAGTATTCTGTACAATCGTTTGCGTTCAATTGTGTTTCTCTGATAAATTCATCAATTTCTTTACTCCCCGTCGTCCAATTATCAAAATTTTCTTGGAATTGTGTTGACTGACATTGTTTACACCAATAATTTGCACCCAAGGCTTGCTCACACTCGAGACAATAACTCTTAGTATAAATTCCCATTTACGATTTTTATAAAGGTTAATGTTGGTTATTTGTAATAAATAGGGGAATAAAAATTTTTTGTTATAAAATTTTTTAATTGAAATTCGATAAAATCTTACTTCATTATATAGTATTTTCATCATCTCGCTTTATCACGGATATAGAAGGTCCACAAGGATCAAAATCGTAGTACAAGTTTAACTTAAATGATGTGGTAATTTCCATATAGAAATTTTAGTTATGGAATTTTCTGAGTATAATAGTATAAATAAATGGGCATTGTCATATGTAAATTTCCTTTTATGTCTAAATGGTACACAGACTTTTCTATTACCATAATGTTTTGTTTCTTAAGAATCATTTACTGGTTTCCGGAGTGTTCGAGATTAAAACTTACCGATAGGTTCTTGCGTTTATGCAGAGAAAGATTTTTTTTATTTTTAATATAAACAATCATATTTTTACACTTGAAAATGATGCGAGAAGAGTCGGTGATTTAAACAAAGAATTTTTGCTTCGATCGAGCAAGCCATTTTTGTGGGGTTACTTACACAAAAAAAAAAAATTTTTTTTTTATAAAATTAAAAAAGGAGATTTGGACAAAAATATTTACAGTTGAACTTCGTGATTTTCTTTTGTTAAAACAATGAAACTTGGAAATATTGCGTGAGAGATTCGTTTAAAATTTGTACATTACACTCCTTTTGTACGATCTTTGTGCGATTGATAAATCTTAATGAGTCATTAAAGAAAAAAAAAAAAAGACAAAATAAAGCAGTAAAAGGGTTAATCAATCATTAACGCGATAAATGTTTCGCAACTATACGAATTCTTCTGATAAACATATGAAACTACTACGATCGCCAATCTTTCTCGTATTGTAATCAGGCGTTTCTTGTAATGGTGCTTAAAATTTACACGATACATTTGAAAAACGTAAACTTAAATTGTTCATATTATTTAATTGTCCTATTACAATTGAATTTTATTAACTTTTTAATTTTCCATTTTGGTTGAATAAAAAGTAAAATTTTGAAAAATAAATTATGTATGGATGAGTAAGCTTTTCTCCTCCGAAAAAAGGAATCCCTTCGGCTTTTTCCATTTCCCCTTGTCTTGTTTGCCAATTAAATTTAACATACGCAGCAGCGCAGTAAATTGGATGCTCGTGACATCATTTGGCCGATCACATGCAAAATATTTATCTGCGGGGGGAATAAATTTTTCATCCTTTGTCTTTATCTTTTTTTGTTGCAATCCGTCCGTTCGGAGATATAAATTGCCATATCTTATTTTCTTTTTTAGGATAATGACAAAGGTAATTATCTCTTGTTATGTTGAACTTATGTCTTTCTGCTTTAAAAAAGGATGATATCTTTGCATTATAAGGCTGTTTCAAACTGAAATAATTATTTAATTTTGTTGAGAAGATGCCTCTCTGATTTTATTTTATAAATAGATTTTTCAAAAATTCATTACATTACAATAGCATTTATACTAACTTTATATTCTTTAATAACTATAATTTTTCAGTTCTTTAAGGTACGTAAACCATTATTAAAATTCAATCATCCAAAACTTTTTTTTTAAATAATAAATCCGTCTGTGATGCTGTAAAAAAAAAAAAAAAAAAAAAAAAAAAAAGAGTATAATTTGAAAAGAATATCCGATACCCACAGAATTCGCCTTATTTACAACATGGCATATTTTGTCAATCAATTGGATAAGATTAAAAAAAAATCAATAATTTGCGTTATTTTGATTTTATTATTAAGACATTCTTTAACAAAAAACTAGTAATTCGATTTTTGATCCTAGATTTTTTGTGCCAGGATGTTACATTAATACTTTTCTTTTATCTTTTTATTTATTTTACTAGGAAGGCTACGAACATTTAGTTTACTCCGAGTATCGATAAATCAACATCTGATATTAAAAGAATCAAAAAAACAATTTGAATTAGTTTACTTTATTATTATTATTTTTATTAAGATTTAATGGATAATTTCATCTTTGTGAATAAAAAAAACCACATGCTTTAGTCGAAAAAATAAAATAAGAAAATGTAATTCCATCTGAAGTTGAAATTGTTTCGAAAAATTTTCGGCGGAGATTCGGAAATTCAATAGCCAATTGGTCCGACCCGTGAATTTCATGACGCCAATCATCTTACCCAGGAACGCCATCAAAAATTGGCATCCTTAACCTAGGGTGGGGTGTAGACTCTTATCCTAAACTGGGGTGTACGATTAAGCTTTGATGAGTTTCGTTGGCCTTATTTATTTTTGTAACATATATCTTAGAATTTTCGCGATATTTTCAATGAAAAATAGAACGAAGAAATACTCAACTTAAAAAACGAAATTTGGAGTATTTAGTGCAGTGTTTTAAAGGAAAAGGGTGAAAAAAAATATTTCTCGCAATCTTATTTTCATTTTAGAAGATTTATTATTGAATAAAACATGATTCATTATTTTTGTTAAAAATGATTATTTATTGAACAAAAACATTTATTATATACATAATTTACATTTTACTATTTCTTTTTACTATTAGAATATAACAGCTGTAAGCTTCTATAACAATAAAGCAGTTGCCATAACAATAGACTATCTTAACAATACTGTATGTTAATATTTATTTCTTCTTCACATTTTTATTTTAAGTTTTCAATAAAAAATATTTCGGCATATTTTATATTTAAAAAATTGGTTCAACCACAGAATAAAAATAAATAAAATAAAAACGACTGTAAAAAAAGAAATAACATACTTTTTCTAAACGAAATTTACAGACAGCAAATGGAGTAGTAATAGAAGTGAGCTGTAAAAAAAATAAAAAATAATCTCTTATTTCTATATCAGATCTTATCGTACACCTCGGCTTAGGATAAAGGTCTACACCCCCACCTTAGGTTAAGGATGCTCATCAAAAATTCTCAGACATGTGATTTTATGTACACGCAAAAATGTCTGATATGCTTTTATTGAACAAAAACAAAATTTAAAAATTCCACGCTTCCTTTTTTTTATTTTCATTTCAACATTGCTTTTTTTTGTTCACGTTTTAATACCAACAACCATTTTTTTAAAAATATTAAAATATTTTAATATATTTTTTCAAATTTTTTTTCTATATTGTTCTTTAGAGTATCAGAAGTATCAGAAGATGATTTGATTTTTCCAATGATAGGTGAGGTTTTTTTTTGATTACTTTTTCATTTCTTTTTTTTTTATTTTTCATTTAAAATTACTTTTTTAATTTTTTTAAGTCTGTTTCAAGTAATTTATCTCTTAGTGCTGTATAATATCTATTATTTCAACTTGTTATAAAGTGTGATATATCTGCACAGAAAATATATTATCTACTTTTAGACCTTTCTCTTTATCATTTCAGCTATCAGTTTATCTCTTTAAACCTTAATAAAGATGCTTTTTAATAGTTTTGTAAATTAGAAACATCTCTTATTTCAGCAGATGAAGAAATTAGTTAGACTATGCTATCTTCTCTATAAAATATTAAGATCACTTTGCTGAATTTGAGGATCTTTCACTTTTTTAATTGTATCTAAAATATCATTATTATAAAGGTCACTAAAAAATAAGCAAAAGTGAAAATATTATACGTGATTGGTTATATCTTCCATTTTATTATAATAGTATATAATGAGAAAATTATTGTTATATTAAAGTTTTCCTTTATATTAGCTATTGTAATTTAAGTGTATTAATTAATAATAATAGTATCTTCTGACCTGATCTCTTTAAACATTACTATATAATAATCGAATATGCTTCAGATTTACTTAGTATATCTATAAATATTTTAGAAAATGAATCTATTAATAATAAAAGCAATCAGAATTATGAAGATCTAAATAATATCAAAGAAGAGATCCATTTTGATTAGATGGGTTGATTGCTAAAAAAATCAGATTCTGACAATTTTTTAAAAAAATTTAGATTTTTATTATATTTTAGTTTTTGATGTTCTTAGATTAAAATGCATTAAGATTTTAATTTTAGTCAAAAAATTCTCAAAATCTGATTTTTCTAGAAATTCTTTTAGATGATTCTTTTAGAGATAAGACTTGATACAGAGTTTGAAATTGTTTCTAATTTAAATCTCTGTAATATTGATCATAATTATAACTGGATTGCTGATCTTAAAACATATTATCTGATCTTGAACTTATTAACATTTCTAACTTTATATAGTAAACTCACAATTTCATTAATTTTAATAATATTTCCTAGTCTAATTATGCAATAGATCCCTGATTTTTGAATAAAAATCAGATGTTGATATATAGACGATATAAAAATAGATTCATCATGTGTTATTAATATGTGTTATTTTTTATTAAAATTTAAAAAGGTTCTTCTAAAACCTTTATATTGTTATGGTTAGTTCTTTAAAATGCTTATGAATGATAAATGAAGCAATATTTATAAGTGGTAAGCAGAAGGTTTAATTTGATATTTAGATTTAGAAAAGTGTCGATAAATTAACAGTTTATTTAATAACTATAACAATAGAGTACTGCCTCAATTGGCGTTCTGTACTATACAATTATGTTAGAGAGATTAAACTAAACAATTATATAAAACTACGAGTCAGACACACTGCTAAGCTAAAGAAAATTGTCTTATATTTATATAAAATGAAAAATATAAAGTTATTGAAGATATAAAAGAAATAAATATAGTAAATAAAATAAATAAAATATAATAAATATATGAGATAAATAAGATAAAATAAATAAAAGAAATATAATGTATAAAAGAAATAAATGCTATAGATGTCATAAATGACATAGAAGACATATATGATTTTTTAGGAATCGATGTCATCATTTAGATCATCATCATCTATGTCTTCTTTCATAAAATATACGTAACCCTTTGCTATATCTCATGATTTTATCAGCTAGATTTTTGTCACCTTCAGCAATCATTTTCTGTATATCTATGACATCGATAGGTTTATCACTTAAATTCTGTCTTATGAAAATAGAACCTTCTGTAATGCTCTTCATCTTATCATAGAGTTTAATGCAAATGCCTCTAACGTGAATGTCTTACGAATTAACTATCTTTATATTACATCAAGTGTTTAAAATATTCCACTGGTTTTATGTCCTGAGGCCATTTAGAACGAAGATTACCTTGTCTATATAGATAAAGTATTGGGAACACTTTTGCTATATAACTAGATATCTAGAACTCATTAATAGGAAAGCCATCGATTTCTGATTATAGTAAAGTTGTATTATTACTTTATATGCGATTAAGTGTATCATTAATAGTGATGTCTTTTCTTAGTCTTAGAGTATTTGAAAGTACAAACAAACGTACTATTCCATCATCTCCATTTTCTTCATCTGCTAAAATCTCATCTATTAATCATTCGTTCTGTAACTGTAAAAGTATTTTGGTGATAGAATTGTTTTTAAGTAAAGATTAGAGTATTTCTTGATTGATAATTATGTCTTTGTAGTAATGGTTGTTTGTTTTTAGCTACATCAGAGCATTACCAACTTTATTCTGATGTACAATAAAGTCTTTGAAAACTGTTGAATCATTTGCTAATTTCTGACGTATCACAAGTATATCTAGAGATGATGGATTCTATAAAAGCTAATTTGTGAATCCTTAAACGTCTTGAGAAAAGTTAATAACATTCTCCTTATATACAGTTTGTCTTCCACAGAATCGATATACTATCATAACAGTAAACACTTGCGCTATAAGCATTTCTTTGACTTCTGTCAGCCCTTTAAGTTCATTAGAAATATCACACAGATCTATATTATTTTCTGCAGAAAATTTATTAGGTACCATCTTTTCTATGTAGTATTACCGATACTTTTCTATTACGAGAGACATTGATGGGATTCGCTTATTACATATAAGACATAATGAGTATCAAATATTATTCATTTTTTATGAAAGTTTTGCAACATCTGATGTTCATTTTCACTAATCATTTGTGCTACTTTTGGTCTAACATTAGTTTCTTCTGCTCTTTCTTAATGTTTTTCGGCTGTTTCATGACGTCTTCGGCTATTTCTTAACATCTTTGAAGTCACGCATCACATTTTTGCTCACTTTTACGGTTAAGACGATTCTTACATTTCTCAAATGTCTTTTGAATTTTTTTGTACTCTACGTTTACGATCATTTGCAAGTCGCACATTATGCTCTTTCTCAATTTCATTGGCTTTTTTTCTGCATTTTCTTTCACGATTACATTCTAAATGTACATTACGCTATTCATCCATCTCGTTCTTTTGGCTGTTTTTCTTTCAGAGTGTCTCAAAGTTAGTACTTCATTTTTTCATTGTATAGTGAATTTAAATGCAGAAATCTTAAGCAATTTTATTTAATCTTTATTATGAGTACTTTATTATAAATATAACTCTATAAAAATTGAAAAACAGAGTCTTCGTAAAATCAAATCTTTATTAACTAAAATATTAAGTACAATATTCTTCTATTTATATGATTAAAATCCTACCCTTTTACATTATAAAATCTAAATAATAAAAAAACAATTAAAGCAAGAATAATTAACATTTAAAATTTAATATTAATAAATTGGTAATTAGACAATTAAGTAATCAAATCTTATTGTTTTAAATTAAATTTAATTTTTTGAAGTATAACAAGGTGACACTTTGTCTATCAGTCACACCTTTGATCAAGTAATAATTGGCATCTTACTCCAGAATTTCCATAAGTATTTTTTGCATCACAGAAAGTCAGAATTAAAATTTAAAATAATCACATAATACACCATTTATCGTTTTTTATTAGTTAAGATCCTAGCTCCAGATTTAACAATGGTAAGCCATTCCTAGTATTTCATAATTTGAGGATAAATACTTGGAGATACTGATTCAAATATAAAATCTAGAAAATCAAATAGTTGGTCACAATCAGAATATTGTGCTTTATGTTTACTAATACATTCACCAAAGGCATAAAGTAAACAATGAGAAATGCAAGAATTATGATCAATGCGACCATTCGATCTAACTACTAATTCTTTTTCATAACTGCGTTTTAGGTGTCGTTTAAGTTTTTCAAGACGTCCTAAAACTTCATTCTAATATAAAAATTAGTAAGTATATATATATGTTGTGAATAAAAATAATTTCAAAATTAATATCAAACTATCACAGTAATTTTATTCTCAAAACTATTACGTATAAAAATTGCTAAACTTTCAAACGTTTCAAACCTATAATTATTGCATGTTTGGCATAAACCACTAAGATTTTCTTGATATTTAAGGTTTGTACAATTGTTTAATCGTGCTAAAAAGTAGTTTTTCTCATACCGTTTGAATAAATTTCAATAAATTTTTCCATAGGTCACACTTTAGTCACGCAAATATAGAATTGGTAATCCCATTTTTGGATCTACTTTGTAAGAACTCATCGTTACATTTTCTTTATCTTAAAAAAATAGCAAAAATTGTTCTTCTTGAATATCAGTTAATCGTTGAACAGTTTTTTTTGTTTTCTGCAAAGATGAAACACCTGGTTTATTAATTTGAGCATATTTTCTTGCTTTATTTATTATATCTGTTTCCACCTATTTAGTATAAATTATAAATAATTTGTACTTCAGAATTTTTTTATCGATCCATCTATTATCAAAAGAAATAAAATGAATTTATTATATATTTTTGAATATATTGAAATAATTTTATTATTATTTTTTTTTTTGTAATTTTTAATCATAAAATATATCAATTATTATTGCAAAAATCCTTTCTATAAAACTATTTTTATTTTTAGTAATTTAACAAATGTACAGTAACTTACATCTAATTCTCTTTTGAGATCAACATATCGAAAATTTAGAGCAATAATTGAAAGGATATGAATTTTACTATTTGTACCTTTTTTATTTGAAAATAATGCATCTCGAAAACTATTTTAAAAGGTATTTTAAATGGAATTTGGACCAGGTATTAGATCATTTAATTTGATTATATTGTTTTTATAAAGGTTTTCTAATGTTTCTTTATCAGCAATAGGATTCAAAGCTCTGCTTTAGAATTCAATGTTTGATTCCTTTTTTGAAAAAGGTGTTACATTAATACATCCACAAGCTTTAAACATCGCTCATTATGCTTAAAGTTCTTTTTCTTATAAGATATAATTAGGTGGATAAATCTTTTGTAATATAAGTGAAAATTGAATTATGAAACTTTTTTGTTAGCGTCAATCATAGAAAATATTAGGCCAATCAATCATTGTATTTGGAATTTTGTGTGATTTTACATGTCAGTCAAAGACAACTTTCAGTTGTTGATAATTTTTTCAATTATCAGGAATGCATATTGTTGATTCACTTTCCAATGCACGTAATTTCTCTTGAACTAATTCATTTCTAATTCTGAACAAATAAGATTCAGCATACTTCTAATGTATTGTTAATTGATTCCAGATATTATTGGGAGTTTCTCCTATAATTTGTTTAACGCATGTTGATTCCAGATAAATCTTTAAAAGGCAATGTTCCTCTTGGATTTCAAGTAAAAAAAGATGTTATGCGCCATTATAATATGTAATAAATGAAGAAATAAATCCCGCTTCAGCTGCATAATATTCATCATCTTCATTTTTTGACAAACTGCCAAGACTTGTTATTACAACAGAAAAATTCTCAACACAAATAAATATGGGGAAAAATGAAATATTAGCAATTAATTACTGAATTATATCCTCACTTTCAAATCCTATTACTGCTAAGCCTGAATATTCTGTTTTTGTACCAAAAACTGCTTGATAACACGCTTTGATTGCTATTGATGGATATAATTCAATTTCACTTTTAGTTTCTTCACATATACATTAAAAAACCAGGTTTAGAGAATTTTTATCTTTGGAAGTAACTGTAATAATAAATTCTTGGCCATTAAGTTCACATCCAACACGCATAAATAGACGATAAGGTACTATTAAACACTTATTATTTGTAGTTGACTTAATATTAACGGTTTCCCACCAATTTCGAGCATAAATTCCATAGTGTAATTGTAAATCTATAATACCTACGCTTAAAAGATTTGGTGTAAAGTGTCTTCTTTTTGACATTGGTAGGGTTGACTTAGTGAAAAACTGTACATTTAGAAACAGCATTTTTAATTATAAAAATGCCCGTCACGTTTATTTAATAAATGCCGATCATTTTGTCCAGGTGACTTGCGAATTAGCAATTAAATATACTTTTACTATTAAAGAATAAACTCTTAAAAAAAAGATTACGGAGGTTTTATATGATTATTTGATTAGCCAATCAAAATAAATAAAAATTTTTCACATATAGTAGGGAAAAAAAGTAAAAATGCCTAACGTTTTCGTATAACCGTGTTGTAATAGATGCTGGTGTTACCATTTGGCCATTATAAAGATTCGATTATCAAAATCAAATAAAAGAATTAATTAAGGCAGTGTATGGCCAAAACTCCTTAAAAAGGTTCATCACATCTCAGAATCATGTGTTTTGCGCCGATATTATAAATTAATTCCCACCAACTTTTTTTTTTTCGTTATTCTAAATATCTCACATTCAATTTCAAGCCTTCAAACCATTATTTTATTTTACTCTTTGAATTTCTTTCAACTCTTGCAATTCTTTTTTAACTTTTAATAAATATACATCGTAATTCTAACGATGGTGAATTATTATAAAAAAGTGTCTGCTATAAAGTAAGTTTTCATTTAAATTTCATGCTGAATGTTTAATACAAACGGGTATCCTCTTGACTTGCTTGTAAAATTCTCTGCGTACATTGTTCACTTTTGAAGTGAAAGTACTATTCTACTTATATACTCGTAAAATCAAAAACAACTTTCTCTTAATTGCGAAAAATATTATTTCTAACCAAATTTTTTTTTTTTTTTTTTTTTTTTTTCTTTTAAAGAATTACTCATAAGGTTATGGTCTACGTCAAGAACATGACTGCAGCAGATGCAAATTGTAAAAGTAAAAGCGCCCAATACAGGCAGTATTGAGGCGCAAATTAATCAAAAGCGCCCAATACTAAGTATTGAGGCGCAAATTAATATCGGATACATTTAGATAAAATGTATCTGAACCGGGTGCTGGAAAGAAGAGTGATGTTTACAGCATCGCTGTAAATATTACGGGAGATATCAAGTGGTCGTTGCTCCTTGAGGAAAGTAAGAATTTTATTGTGGTGGATAAATAGTTTTAATATTCTTAATGCTTAAATTTTGATAGTTTTCAAGTTTATGATTATACTATTTGTTTATAATAAATACTTTTAGTTAAATTTACAATAGGTTTTCTTAAACTCCATAAAGTAAAATAAAAATTATATTAAAGATTTTGATAGGGTTAGGATTATGGTTAAGTTAATTTATTTACCAATAAAGAAATTACATATTTTATATTGTGCGATCCCACTAGTTTTTAAATGGCCTACTTCAAATTAATATTCCTTTTAATTTCATAGCATCAAAGTTTGTTCATTTTCATTTTCGTTGGTTTCTATAACTTATTCCATTAAATCAAAAAAACATCAATATACAGTATCTAACAAATAAAGCTACTTACATGTGATAATACAAACAACCTTCTAGGCCGGTGAGTAATTTAGCAAAGATGTAAAATGATTTACAAACATATTATGAAATAGAGAAAATCAATAAAAATGTACGGAATGGATCTTAGAATTGATATTTTCCAAAAAAAAAAAAAAAAGGATCTTTCCTTTCATCTGAGTATTAACTATTAATTTTCTTAGGTGAATGCCTGAATTTAATTAGTCTCTGTTGAATCCCAAAGATTCTAATGAATTTATTTTCTTGTATATCGGCATTCTTCCATTTCGGATTGGCTACCTTAGCAGATGACCTAAAGTATGAAAATTTTAATGTCAATTTCATTAAAGTGGTTATGGAAACATTGTATTTGTATACGAATTGTTTCACTAACCAAATATTCTACATCATCTTAAAGGCGCGCCAATCATACTACTTAATTTTTATGACCTGATGCGTCTATCGACGCTTAACTGTTTCAAAATAAGCACGCTCATATTCTACTGATTTCCCTGTAAAAAAAAACGTCAATTGGAAATAATAAAATAATACGATAAATATATTGAATATAAGTAAAATAAATGCATTTGCATGTTATTCTTATCTGTATCAAGCGCCCATAACAAATACCATGTTCTTTAGCTTAATTTTCGTATTTATCTGATCAAACCGATGGAGTGAGTTTAGGGTTGCTCTCGATGGTTCAATAATAACAGTTGTGATAGTGATTGTTCGAGGAAGAAAAAAAAAAGAATTACCATTCCTGTCAAAACCTTTTTCATATAAAATATAAATTAGTATATACAGAAATAAATTGATGACCGTCTCTTTGAATGATACTCACAGGGTATTATCGCATATAGTGTATCTAATTAAAAATTGAAAAATAATCGTAAAGATAACGATCAAAGAGCAACAAATGGAATTTAAATTATAATACTAACCTATATGTCCGATAAATACTAAAGTTGAAAATGCTCTTTCTATATAATTCTTCAATACAGCCTCCGCCTCTTTCGAATTCTCTTTAGAAATTTCTCTTATATTCTCTTCGAACATGAATAATGATCTAGATGCGTACACGTCTTAGAAAATTTTCTCCAAGCGTCAAAATGCTAAAATTTACGCGTCAGTTTTCTTTGAAGTTAGAACTTTTGACGTCATTACAGCACAATACTACTCGACAACAGCGTTGGTCGCATTCTCAATTATTATGAAAGAACCCTTAGCGTTTTTGAGCTCATTTAGTATAGCAGCATCTGAAATCCAGCTGGAGAGCACGTAAAACATTTGCTGGTAAATTTTTTTTGGAGGTTGGAATGCCTGAGAACGGAAATGTACTCCAGTAGGTGTCGTGATGTTACTAACGATCGCAGCTATATGTGCCGAAAGTTACTGCTTATTCACAAAAGTCAACCGTTCGTATTTAATATTAACGCGTCATTTCCCTAATTTGATTTTAAAGATCTTCATGTTCTGATTTTGGTAATTGGCTTTTCTATTCTATTTTGTGAAACCGTCATAGATATTGTTATATTGTTCCTGGCGTAGACAATTTTCACATTATTGAATGCTTCAGCAATGGAAGGTACTGGTATATATGATGATGACAACAAAGAGTTTATCATTAATACACCGACATCGTTAGCTCAAAAATATTGGATCACAAACGTAAGTTTTTCAAAAATTTTTAATTTTTAAAAAATGAATAGGTTATTTATATTCAATTTGACTCATGCAAAATGGGTTGTTGTGGCTAAGAATGATGAAAGGATACGAATCTTGACAGAATTCTTGTCAAAATTCGCGAGAAAAATAAATTCATGTTTCTAAACATTTATTTTGGTATTTCTACATTTCCGATTGATCTTAGACGTTATAATTGAAGAAATGGGAGTAATAATGGTATTTGTATTTTTTTTTTAATGATCAATTCATTACTAAATGTATTACTACCATGCAAATTGTGATTCAGAAATTTGTCTTACGTCGCGTTATAATTTACAGGAGTTTTTTCAACTAAAACATTACGCGATACATAATCTTTTAACATATCTTCTGACGTCGATAGCAAAAATCGTCGTGGGTACGTAATTTATGAAATATAATATCCATATATATCTTATTCGAAATTGATTAATTTTCTATTTTAGAAAGTTGGAGAGGTTATTATTGAGTATTCACTAAAAATTTTTACGTGATAAAAATATTTTATATATGTCATGTAAGATTTGCGAAAGAATTAAAATCTTTTTTTAATAAGCTGGATGAATCGTACACCACACTAATTACTTTCTTTCATAATTATCAAGGATATAATAATTTAAATAGTTTATTGGATAAAAGAGGAAATTTGAAATTTTTGAAAAATATTAAGCGTTGAATATTATTAAAAATTCAGGATCGTAGACTTTTGAAGATTAAGAAGAATATGCTATTTCATGATTCTTTACTTTGAACACTCTTTTAATTATTATTCTTGGTAAAGGGTCATCAGAGGTTTGATTATGGGTTTAAGGAATGGATCACTTCTTTTTCCACAAAAAATTTTCTCTTCTTTTCGCACGTTATGTACATCCTTGATTAAAATATATACCCATCAGTCTAGAAGACCACAATTCTGACCTTTGTCTAAATCATTTGACTAATAAATTCAAAAAAAAAAAAAAAAAAAAAAAAAAAAAAACTTTAATCCATATTACTTTTAAGGAATGTATAATAGACTAGATCTATTTTTAAATTTGAATATCATTACCTAACCATTTTTGAAAGCTGAAGATTCCTACCCAAGATAATAATATTTAGATTGATACACAATCATAATGTTCAATTTTTTTGGAATTTAATTATATTTATTTATCTTATTTAAAATTACAGATTAAAACTCACAGGAAAAAATCTGTTTGATTTCTCATTAAGAATACAATTTTGATTCTGTCAATTAAAATAAAGTAGTAAATTTCAAAAGAAAAATTTTAAACCTAACGGTTTGAACGATAATGATGATTCTAAAGAAATATCTAATTATATGTTACGAATATTAATAAGAAGTGTTTTTTAAATGCTTTACGCAGAATTTCGTTTAGAAGTTACATCAGTAAAGTTGTCATTACTTCTCATTGAATCCAGAGCGATGTATAATTTTGAAAATCATCTCATCAAGCGAGTTCACTTTGTTAACAATTCCATATCCTCCTGTTTTGTAGTTTCCTCCCGCAAAGTTCCCAACGATTTATCACATCATCCTGATGAGCAACATCTTACATGTTGCTAAAATATGAAGGAACGGTCATATCGCTATAAATCATCGTTTGATCTATGATGTAGATTATACCATCATAACCATTCTGTGATGGGACTAAATCGATTTGGTTTTGTCGTTCTAATGATATTTGTCGTATTTGATTCTCCATATCATCGAAAACTAACTTGCTATTTTGTCGTGAAAACATTATCCGTCAAAGAAATCGTGATCATTTTATTGCAATTGATGTTTTTGAAAATAGATAAGTCTACGTTGTCTTAAATTGATACTCCATCATAATTAATTACGTGAGCTAATTAAACGAATCCGGCCGGCACATACATGATATTTGGGTTCAACTTTTCCAACTGTTGGTTGTCTTTGCAATGTGTTCATAATAATTTTGTGGTGAGAATTTGTATATATGCCTTTCATTATATACATTTTTCTTAAATTTTAATTTTGGTATGATAGGTTCATTGGCTTCTCTTTATCTAAATCAATTTTGTTATACCGATATAAGTGATTTTATCATTTATAAAAATGAATAGGAAAATAAAAGTTTATGAACTTAAAGATTCTTTCTTTTATTTTGATAATAAACACTTGATCTAGAGATAAAACTCTATGTCGAATTATCCTTCAACTAGAGAAAGTACAAGATATTTTTTTTAAAAAATCTTCAGAACTAACTTGTGAATCTTTTTTGTTATTATTGATTATTTGATGTAAAAAAAGTATATTGATAAAAAGTTTATTTTACCATTTTTTTACTCCGTATTTGGCTTTGATTCGTTCTCATATTAAATAATTGATCTTGAATTTTATCATGTCAAGATCATAGTTTAACTCAACCTGATATTCAGGATTTATTTTCTCGTTTCTACAGAACAATTGTATCCAACTAAATTCACAGCGTAATGAAAATAAACACAAAATACGAAAAAAAAAAAAATAAATATTTAAATGTTATACCATAGTCCTCGATACGAGATGCAGAAGCGTTTTTTCACACGCGAGATGATATTCAACGGGATATTGTTGATTTGTTGATTGCTGAAAGGAGAATAATGTATTTTTCCCATTTTATTTGATTTTATTAAAATGATAGTATAAAGAATACTTTTTGTGTTAATATTTGGATTATTTGGATTATATGCTTTTTTTTTTTTTGTGAATTTTGCTGTAAAATTTAACGTAAAAAATTTTTTTAATTTTGAAAATGAAAAAAATTTTATATTTATTAAGACTAAGGTCAATCAAAACAGATAAAAGCAAATCATTTTGAATGTAGACTGATCGCACGCGTGACGTTTCTGCAGTGATTAAGGATGGAATTCTGCATGTGATAAAAGTTAATTCAACATTACGATTCGCAAATTCTGGCCAAACTTAATGTCAGCCAGCATTACGATGATTGCAAATCCTAAATCAGGCCAAAATTTTGAAAATTATCATCATTTTTATAACCATATTCTGAGATTTCCCGTAAAATTCTTTGAATGCAGAAAATCATCGTCCCTAGTTCAGTGAACTGACGCGTCCAATAAGTTTTTTTTTTTAATTCTGTTCTATAATAACAATAACTTTCTTCCATTATAATTTCATAATGACTTTAGTTTCTCACACTAGAGTTTCTATTGACAGTGGGTCTGTCCTACCAAAGACTCCAAGTTCCTTAGGTAGAGCTACGCAAGAGGTTCCTGTTAAACAACGGTTTGTTATCAGCAAAATGATCTTATATAATTTTAAGTCGTACTTTGGTAAACAGGAAATAGGTCCGTTTCACAAGGTATAATATATATATTTTGTTTTCTTGGAGCTTTGTTGCATCACGAGATACTCTCTAATAATTAAAATTTAATATCAAAAGTCATTTTCTGCTGTTGTCGGATCAAATGGTTCGGGAAATCAAATTTTATAGATGCGCTTTTATTTGTATTTGGTTATCGAGCAAATAAAATGAGGCAAGCCAAATTATCAGAACTTATTCAT